AAAATACATAAACTAGGTGAACACACCCTAACAAGCCACAAACCTGGTTTTCATTGTGTTCACCATTTTCCAATTATCCACTTTTGTTTATCTTGTAGTCTGTTAATACTGAATTAATTTATACTCATTAAATGTTATTGATTGAATTGTCATAGTTTTATTATGTTTTTATTGTCCATTAATTGTTTTTTTTTACACATTGTTTTAAATGTGGAATTTGGAAAAAAATGATTTAAATTGAATTGGATGCGCTAGTGCCCTGTGGTAACTTATCCTCATCACCAAGACCGTCTGAGAGGACCTAAATCAGTCGGTCCTCTGTTGCCCAACTAACAAGCATTTTTGCTTTCTTAGCAGTCATGTAAAATAACTACCACACACATTATAACTGTAGTAATCCGCAAAGTGTGGATTAAAGCCATACTGTATGGTATGGTATATGTTATTCATTCACGGTTAAAAACACATACAACAATTGTACCCGCATTCAGCAAAAGCTGTTTTCAGCGAGGCCGTGATTACATAAGATTCGAATAGAATATAAAACAATGAAAATACAAATTACAAACAAATATGCAAGTTATAATAAATGAATATATTTACATAAATTTAAGTACAAAATCGAATCATAGTGACAAAGGGAGAAAAAAAGGAAACAAAAGTATCTACGAGATGGAAGAAATGAGCAAATATCTTGAATTTTACTAATCTCAATGTTGTAAGATTAAAAAATATATATAATTCTGAGATCGTTGGGCACGGTATTAAAAAGCTTTGATGCATGGTATAATGGACTATGTTGAAGAAGGGGGATTTGTGAATTAGCATAACGAAACATACTAGAAGCACTGCATGAACCACAAAGTGCTTGCTAGAGCTCTCCGAGGACAGCTGTAGAAGTATGTGCCCTAGTCGCTACATGTTCTATCTGTTGGTTCTCGCATCAAGTCCTCTGCGAAGTGGGAATAGGGACTTTTAGATTCGCACGAAGACAATGGGGATTGCTACGATCGACGTCCTTTTAACGTACTGCCTTAAATGGACATCACATGTATCAGTCCAGAGTCAGAGTGTGCTGAGTAAAAATGAATTAACGCTCCTCCCCCCCCCCCCAATTTAAAAAAAAAACATCCTCCTTGAAAAAAATCCTGCGTACGCCACTGAGTTATCGGGTCTCCAAGTGTGTTCACTAGTACCTGTGTACACCGTTTGGGCGGACAGGGGGCGAGGAGGGCTTTAATTCTTTATGCATTATATATTTGATAAACATTTTACTTACAGAAGACCCAGTCTTACTCAGCGCAATTTCCTGAAGTCGTTGCGCCCGCGCCAGTAGACATCAACCCAGCTTCCTCATCTAAACCGCGCGAAGTCTAATTTTCATTTTAGATTGTAAACAAACAACTAAACCCTTGAGAAAGGTCAGAAGCACTCTAAATGCCAAGTGAGAGCATTGGCACGGTCAACTTACGCTACGCGAGCTGAACTGTCCCCAAACTAGTAATTAGAATGGGTTTGGCCCGGGGTTTGGTCGTATAGGGAAGAAGTAGAACTAGTTAATAACGGTTTTAAACTGACTACGGACTGGCTTGGACTGCTTGGAAATGGCAAATTTACTCGATCTGAACTTGACATACAATGATGTAGATGTACAATTGAAGATAATCTGAAAATTTGAGCGAAAACATACCATTATTAATGATACGAATTGGGAAAAACTAATCTGATCGATTCCTCAATTCTCCCAACTAAATTATTACAATTTAATTACATTTCAGGTGAATGTAAAACGTCACAATGCAATGAATTGTCTATATAGGGGTGATTGCCCAGGTCCAAAATACAGCTTCACCACCATACTTTACAGTTGAGTGTGATGGTCTGAAAAGTGTGAGAGTCTATTAAAATAAAACTTTATATAGGCGTATTTAAAGATAAAGATCAGTTCTTGTCATGCGATTGCATTGTGAAAAAAACATTGCGGAATCGATCAGAAAAGGTTGATCATCTAGCATAAAAGTATTGGTGTGTACTGCAAGGTTCTGGAATCATCAAAATGATAAGAAATTTGACCCAATCTTGGTAAAGTTACAAGCACCGTACACAGAAAGATTACATTTCAGGTGAATGTAAAACGTCACAATGCAATGAATTGTCTATATAGGGGTGATTGCCCAGGTCCAAAATACAGCTTCACCACCATACTTTACAGTTGAGTGTGATGGTCTGAAAAGTGTGAGAGTCTATTAAAATAAAACTTTATATAGGCGTATTTAAAGATAAAGATCAGTTCTTGTCATGCGATTGCATTGTGAAAAAAACATTGCGGAATCGATCAGAAAAGGTTGATCATCTAGCATATAAGTATTGGTGTGTACTGCAAGGTTCTGGAATCATCAAAATGATAAGAAATTTGACCCAATTTTGGTAAAGTTACAAGCACCGTACACAGAAAGATGTATAAGGGACTACGCACACGTGCGCGACACGTGCGTTATATCTATCAGGTCCTAATAGATATACTAATTTACTCAATATATCAATTAGTTAGCGGCTTCTCGGCAAAATTTGTATCATCACGTATTAGTCAAAACATATTCTTTCACATGATTGGTAATAAGAGCTTCCATTTCATTTTTAAGAGGGGGGGGGGGGGGGGACATTTCCAAAACTGGTCTTTACCTTTAAACGGAGTATTAATGCCCTTCCTACTTTCGTTATGGTCATGGAATCCACTCAAGGAAACCAGTCTGCTCGCGCAGACTCCGATTTGAAACATAACCACAAATAATAAAGCTCTACCATTCTCTTGCTGCATCATATCAACTAAGTAAAGCCTTTGCAGTATGCCCTCAGCCTTGTCTCACTGTGCAGATATTGTTACGCACAGCGACTGGCAAGGCTTTTTGTCTGCAAACTATCAGGACATCTGCTTGGTACAAGTAGGTCTGCGGCAAAGACAGTATGATATGTTTGCGAGATCACGTTTGGAGACTTATCCCCATATTTCCACACAGTAGGCAAAGTCCAAATGAGAGCTGGGTGTTATTTCCTGTTAATTTGAACTCTCATGATCTTTCTTTCCTCATCCGGGAGTAGAGGTCACCTTAGATGATCTAGGGATCAACAAAGTCTACAAAAATCCCAGGGAACTATTAGCGAGCTATACATTATATTTAAAGAGAGAGAGAGAGGGGGGGGGAGAGAAAGAGTAATGAAATATTGCCTCTGACATAGTCTACGTAGTCAAAACAAATTAATATTGGTCATATTCCTTTAATATTGAGTGTTATGGTAATTCAGTTTATTTTACATCATAAAAAAACACATTATGAATCATAAGTACAGAATAAATAAAAGGCCAGAACTAACAAGCAACTTGCGCTTGTACATGAGGTACCTGCCAAGGTAAATACATTATTCAATTAAATAGCGAACTTATTATGTAAATAAATGTTCATTAAGACGAAGACAGAAAAAGAGCGCCCATCAATTATCAGCAGGTAAATCAACCGTGCATGTATATACATACACCCACAATCACACACAAACACACAAGAGCGGTACAACAAAAAAGAAGAGTTCAGAATGAGAAAGAGAAGAAAGGGAAGCGATGAGAATGAACCAGCCGTTTTGTCATTTGTAAGTATAGCGTAGCAGAGCGCCTATTGATTTCGTAAGAATCTAACTTTGTAGGTGATCTGCCGCTTAGCGTAGCAGAGCACATATTGATTTCGTCAGAATCTTTCTATTTTTCTCCACTTTTCTGTATGGATTTTGTTCGCTTTATATCACATGATAGACATAGTTAATGATAAAGTCAATTACATTTTCACGACAGGTGCCATATGCATGATTATTTTCCCCATTTTGTTTTGATTTTTGTTAGCCGCTTAAAGGGAGGGGGTGGAGGGTAGGGGCACGTAGCGGCTGTGCCCCCGCCAGTTCCAAAAAGTTACTTATATTTTGCGGGGAACTGTTTACAGACAAACATTGTGTCTTTAACTGTGTTAAACAGTTTTTTTCAAATCGTCAGAATAATTACGTATCGATCTGAACTTTCGGCCTGATGCACAAATACCAGAAATATTCACATCATGGGAAGAATATAATGCCTAAGTTCTGGGAAAAGTAATTGTCGATTAAAAATTATATATGCTTATAGCAAGGACAATTGCCAAAACAAAACCTAAACACAAACATAAAAAAACGAAGGCAATGTATCCCTGTCTGACACTTGAAGGTAACAAGAAAAGCAAGCATCATAACTGCAAAACTAGTAATGGATCCAAATCAGTGGTCATAAAAAATACAAAATAATTATGTTACATATTCAAGTTTTACATTTAGGGCTTACTACTATAATGAGGATTCATTGCCCCTTAAAGATACTATGTCCCTTTTGCAGCCAACCTCAACTTCTGTAGAACTTTGCAGGAATTATGAATATGTCATGTATGTGCTATCTGTGAAATTTAAATGTTAGTAGTGTCCTAATATTCATATTAAACAAGGAAATCCGTTTACTTGCTAGACTTCACTGTCAGACACTATTTAGTGACTGACTGGCTTTTTTTCTTCTTTGGTAATAACATACATAAAATGAGCTGTAAAGGGTCCATAGCAATTGTCTACATCAATAACCCATTATTATTATCTTTCAAACGCCGTTGGAATTTAACCTTTTCATTGTTTGGGCCTGCAAATGGGACATAGTACCTTAAGTACCTCTTTTTTATTGTTGCATCCCATCCATCCACAGCCCCTGCAGTGCAACATTGAAACCCGTCACGAATACCTTTCTCTGTAATGTTATTCCATGCGAGCAAGGCATGGTTACATTCATTTTATATCCTGGACTTTCATCGCGTTCAACTAGACTTGCTGACGCTCTGTGTTATTACTTCCTCGTATGCTGCTGCCTGTCTCAGGGAGTGGCTTTTTAGAATTGTCATACTTTCTAAACTCGAGCAAGTTACATCGCATTTGGCAAGCGAGGAGATTTCAAAAGAAGCAAAATCGGACACTTCAGTATTTGGCTGGAACCGTGATTCGAAAGTTTTTGGTTTAATTTTTCTTCATTCTCACAGTTTACACCACTTTGAGACGTTTATAGAACGTCTTACTAGTTGAGCAATGTTTTAGTTCACGGATTATTATTACGGACCACAAACTTATCCAGTTCTTTATAGTTCATATATTATTCACTTATCATTACGTCGAAATAACTCATCGTGCACCTACACCAAAGGCTTTAAATGACGTGATTGACCTGGACGTAATGGCCTACTGATAGATTATACACAAAACGTGAGTAGTTCATACTGTTTCATATTTTGGAGGAAAAATAATCATATGTACTCATAGCATAATAATTATTGAAGTGTAGAAGCAACAGTAGTAGGAATAGCTATATGTTCAAGAGAAAGTTGCGACTACATAGACGTTTTTCTCCTTCTTCTTTTCTGGTGAATTCGTTATCTGAGCACGCTTGCAAACACTCTATCAAAGGTGAAATATAAAACAAAAAACACCAGCATCTAGTCTATTAATATTAGGCTATGTAAATCAAATTCCTAGTTGCTAAGATGGCCGCCGAGTATATACGTGATATTAGGCAGGGCTCCCTGTTAATTTATGTTTCTGTGGAAGTACTTCTAACTTCTCATATTTAATATTTCTTGTCTGCAGCAAAGTATTTGGGGTAACAAAAAATAAAGAAGGAAATGATGGCTCATTGAATAAAATAATTGAAAATTAAGTAGATCTATAGAGTTTATACTAAAATGAAGTAAACATAATTTGTTTTTTTGTTATTAGGATATAATTATGTTGTTGAGTAGTTCCTAGGTTAAAAAGTAGCTTAAACATAATAACAAAACCTCAATTGAGTATTTGTATATGCATACTGTCTATTAAAAGATTAGAGCGCTTTGTTATTGTAATATAATTGGTGTGTGTGTGTGTGTGTGTGTGTGTGTTGTGTGCGGGCTTGTACATGTGGCTTTAGGAGGCGGTTGTGTTTTAATGAATATGAGAGAATCAAAGCATAACAAATCGGAACTAATTTCCGAAAAGTCTTTTCCACGTCGAATCGCTATGTATGTACATTTATCATAATAATAATAATAATAATAATAATAATAATAGCCTAATAGTCCACTCCAAATTTTATTAAACCGAAACGGAAATTCTTTTTGCCCAATCGATCGTGAGCCCGGCAGCCACTCAGCAGCGCCAGATCGACGTTGCTCTATCCCCTTATTGTTGAACGCCAAACAAGGTAGCAACAACTCCCATCTTTTAACGTCTTTTGGTATGACGCGGCCGGGATTCGAACCCACGACCTCCCGGTTGTGAGGCGGACGCTCTACTGACTGAGCCAACACTCCGGTATAGCCAACACTCCGGTACATGTATGTTTGTTGTTATGCCTCCGCCACACGTAGCGAATACCAAAAACATTATATTTTGGCGTTGTCCATCCGTCTGTAATTTATTAGAGCGCTTTAGCAACGCGACGGAAGGCAAAGACGACGGGAGAAACCACTCAACCGAGATCGTGCTGCACTATGCTCCCGTCTTCATTTGTAACTTGTATATAGAGTTCTTTTGCAAACACGACCGAAGGCAAAGACGAGGTGTTCGAGCCCCCTAGCCCAGCCGTTCTTCAGGCCCTGACATGAAGGCCTCTACATAAGCATATTTTTCGCCCGAATTTAAACTTGGGAATTCTAATTTTCCTACAAACGCATAAAAAGGTATGACTTATAAACAAAAATGAGAAAAAATACCGGAAAATCTTATCATTTCAGCAACATTTGTAAATCACTGGTATCGAATAAGAAATACCACCTCCCCCATCAGTACAACAGCGCTCAGGGGCTCATGTCTTCTCACGGTCACCCCTATAACAAAACACACACACGCTTTCCCATCCTCTCACAATATTTACACGATATCGCTATTATAAAAACCTCCATTGATAAATTTAGATGGCATGCGGAATGTTTAGGAAATTTAATTCCTGTTAACTTTTCCCCTTATTTTTTTTTTTTATTTATTTATTTATTATTTTTTTTTTTTTTTATTTTTATTATTTTTTTTTTGGGGGGGGGGGGCAAAATTGCGTTTTGCACCCCCCCCCCCCTTGCCCACCCCACTTCCGGCAACTATGGTATCCAAGCAACCCTGCAACAAACACCTAAGCTGGGAGGGGTGGTGGCCGTTTATTGTATGGTAGGGTTCTGCTCCAAAGTTCTGGCCGTATTGCACTCTTGCGCACAACATACAGCTTATTCAGCTGGCGAGTCGTCGGCAACGCGCTGCACTGTCAAACTACTTATGTAGGAAACTCGGATAAATTAAGTTCACATACCTAGTTTTCTATCATTTTCCGGTTTAAATAAAAACACTCATGACCAAAATCAACTCCACCAAAAAAATAAAAATAAAATAAGAATACAAATAAAGCTTGGCAACCGCGGTTTTTTTCAAGCAATCTACTGCACACTGCACCATTTGACACTGATGGGAATGACCACTCATGACATTTTCATAAGCTACAAGCATGTTTGTTTACTTTAAATAATTTCCATGTTCAATACTATTTAAAATGGTTGTTTGATACATAAAATGAACTTCTTTTGTAAAGTTTTGAAAACTACGCTTTTTTCTTTCAAATGTATTTTAGATCTACATCTAATGTTTTATAGGTTTCTATATTTTACTTAAAAAGTATCAACAACAAAACACAAAAAGGATGGGAACAAATACAGTGCTTACGAGACGAGAAACTATGAATAATTGTATTACTTGGCTATTGTGTGGAAGAATATGAAAAGCAGAAATGTCCTCTGATAAGAATAGCACTTCATATTGTTCACGCACAACGGATTCCTTGTGTTGTGTAGTCAGTTAATACAAAAATATTGATATTGACACTCACTTTAATTACTTTTCGAGACATTACATATTTCAATTTCTTTCGCTTTTTGCGTACAAAATAACTCGTAAACAATGTCAATAAATCTTTCTCTCACTCCTTCCTTCAACCATCAAATCTGTCATTCTATTTGTCTGTATCTGTCTCCCGAACTTTCTCTCTCTCTCTCCCTCCCGCTCACTTAATATTTCAATTTCCCTATTAGTAACCCTCGTTCTCCCTCTCTTTATCATTCACATTCACTCAAACACTATATAACTTAATCACTCCCTCGCTCTCACCCACCAACACATTTTTATTTTTTGTTTTACTCTCCCATTCGCTCATTCATTTTCTTTCTCTCTCTTTCAATTTTCTTTTTTTTTATATTCATACTTACTAATTCAACAAACACACTCTGATTTCGGATGCACCGGAAATGATCTACGGAAATGGCAGTCATGGCAGCGTTTTGCCCATGTGTTCTGCCCAGAAAGAATATTAGGCAATTTTGGCAAACCCATTGCGGAATTAGAATCTGCGGTTCGTGTGCAAAATCGAGAAGATACTCTAGTAACAGTTGGATGACCGCTGAGGCCCTGAAGTCTAGAACGGGTTTTGACCAAATCTACGGGCGTTCTCAATGACGCCCCAAGTGAATCAAGTGCCTCGATACAAACTATTTCATTCACCTGATAATGATAATAGTATTTAAAAAGACAGAATCCAATCTGCATACTTTATTTGTTGCCACACTTAATACATGCAGTTTGCATTCTGAATATTGCGAATCCTAGACAGGTGAATTAAATAATTTGTGTTGAGGAACTTCACAAAGACGTAAGTATTACATTTGATTACATTACGAAAATGGCCTGTTCCCTTCCACGCAATACAGTACAGACGGGACTACACGACTAGCACAACTTGTCTCGACCAAGCCATCAAACGTTTTTTTTTATCAAATTTCAACAATAATTTATCATCAAGTTTTAAAACAATTCATGTTATATCCATATTCATGTTGTTATTGTTCAGAAACAATACTCGGAAGAAACAAAACTCACCGAAAAGTCATTCGTGTCAGGGGCGGATCTAGGGGGGTTAGGAGGTTTAAATCCCCCCTTGGGCTGGCCAAGGTGCTTTCTACCACCCACCCCCCCCCCCAAATGTGGTGCCACGAAATCCGAGATTAGCCTCCCTTTCGAAAATGCTCATTTACGCAAATGTCATCCATTTTGATGGAATTACATTGGCAGTCTAATTTAACTCATATAAATGCACCATTATTCTTATTTGGGCATTTAATTTAAACTCTTTTATGTTTTATTGGGTAGAGTAAAATGACACCATTATCATCAATTATGGGTAAGACTTTCCATTCTATATTTTTTGTTAGGCAATGCTGTTTTACAAAATAACTGGTAAACAATGACAATGAATCTTTCTCTCACTCCTTCTTTCAACCATCAAATCTGTCATTCTATTTTCTCTGTCTGTCTCCCGAACCTTCTCTCTCTCTCTCTCTCTCTTTCACCTAAAATTTCAATTTCCCTCTTAGTAACCCTCGTTCTCTCTCTCTTTATCACCCACATTCATTTAAACACTATATAACTTAATAACCCTCTCGCTCTCACCCACTAACACATTTATATTTTTGGTTTTGCTCTCCCACTCGCTCATTCATTTTCTATCTCTCTCTCTCTCTCTTTCGATTGTTCGATTTTGGTTTGATATTCATACCTACTAATTCAACAAACTCACCCTGGTTTCGGATACAGCAGAAATGATTTACGGAAATGGCAGCGTTTTGCCCATGTGTTCTGCCCAGAAAGAATATTAATGCATTCCTCACATACACATTGCGGAATTAGAATCTGCGGTTCGTGTGCAAAATCGAGAAGATACTATAGTATCTTACAGTATACTATAGTATACTACAGTATACTATAGTATACTACAGATGGATGACCGCTGAGGCCCTGAAATCTAGAATGGGTTTTGGCCAAATCTACGGGCGTTCTCAATGACGCCCCAAGTGAATCAAGTGCTCGATACAAACTATTTCATTCACCTGATAATAATAATAGTATTTAAATAGACATAATCCAATGTGCACACATTAGTTGTTGCCACACTTAATACATGCAGTTTGCATTCTGACTATTGCGAATCCTAGACAGGTGAATGAAATAATTTGTATTGAGGAACTTCACAAAGACGTATGTATTAAATTTGATTACAAAAATGGCCTGTTCCCTTCCACTCAATACAGTACAGACGGGACTACACGACTAGCACAACTTGTCTCGACCAAGCCACAAAACGGCTTTTTATCAAATGTCAACAATAATTTATCATCAAGTTTTAAAACAATTCATGTTAT